GAGTTATGGAGTATAGAACTTCAGCCTTAGGACATTTTTTGAGTTTTTTGAATTTCACCAACATCATACATCAGAAAACTACAAAAAAATTAAAAAAAAAAAAATTTTTTAATTTGAATGCAGATTTGTAGAGAATTGCGCCAGAATCATTTAGAGGTATGCCACTTGAAAATCCGATTAAGATAAGTTGAGTTATGGAGTATAGAACTTCAGCCTTAGGACATTTTTTAAGTTTTTTGAATTTCACCATCATACATCAGAAAACTACAAAAAAATTTAAAAAAAAAAAATTTTTTAATTTGAATGCAGATTTGTAGAGAATTGCGCCAGAATCATTTAGAGGTATGCCACTTGAAAATCCGATTAAGATAAGTTGAGTTATGGAGTATAGAACTGCAGACTTAGGACATTTTTTAAGTTTGTCGAATTTCACCAACATCATACATCAGAAAAACAACAAAAAAATTAAAAAAAAAAATTTTTTAAATTTGAATGCAGATTTGTAGAGAATTGCGCCAGAATCATTTAGAGGTATGCCACTTGAAAATCCGATTAAGATAAGTTGAGTTATGGAGTATAGAACTTCAGCCTTAGGACATTTTTTAAGTTTTTTGAATTTCACCATCATCATACATCAGAAAAACAACAAAAAAATTAAAAAAAAAAATTTTTTTTAATTTGAATGCAGATTTGTAGAGAATTCCGCCAGAAACATTTAGAGGTATGCCACTTGAAAATCCGATTAAGATAAGTTGAGTTATGGAGTATAGAACTTCAGCCTTAGGACATTTTTTTAGTTTTTTGAATTTCACTAAAATCATACATCAGAAAACTACAAAAAAATTAAAAAAAAAAATTTTTTTAAATTTGAATGCAGATTTGTAGAGAATTGCGCCAGAAACATTTAGAGGTATGCCACTTGAAAACCCGATTAAGATAAGTTGAGTTATGGAGTATAGAACTTCAGCCTTAGGACATTTTTTAAGTTTTTTGAATTTCACTAAAATCATACATCAGAAAACTACAACAAAATTAAAAAAAAATAGATTTCTAAATTTGAGTGCAGATTTGTAGAGAATTGCGCCAGAAATATTTAGAGGTATGCCACTTGAAAACCCGATTAAGATAAGTTGAGTTATGGAGTATAGAACTTCAGCCTTAGGACATTTTTTAAGTTTTTCAAATTTCACCAACATCATACATCAGAAAAACAACAAAAAAATTAAAAAAAAATTTTTTTTTTAATTTGAATGCAGATTTGTAGAGAATTGCGCCAGAAACATTTAGAGGTATGCCACTTGAAAATCCGATTAAGATAAGTTGAGTTATGGAGTATAGAACTTCAGCCTTAGGACATTTTTTAAGTTTTTCGAATTTCACTAAAATCATACATCAGAAAACTACAAAAAAATTAAAAAAAAAAAATTTTTAAATTTGAATGCAGTTTTGTAGAGAATTGCGCCAGAAACATTTAGAGGTATGCCACTTGAAAATCCGATTAATATAAGTTGAGTTATGGAGTATAGAACTTCAGCCTTAGGACATTTTTTAAGTTTTTTGAATTTCACCAACATCATACATCAGAAAAACAACAAAAAAATTTAAAAAAAAAAATTTTTTAATTTGAATGCAGATTTGTAGAGAATTGCGCCAGAAACATTTAGAGGTATGCCACTTGAAAATCCGATTAAGATAAGTTGAGTTATGGAGTATAGAACTTCAGCCTTAGGACATTTTTTAAGTTTTTCGAATTTCACCAACATCATACATCAGAAAAACAACAAAAAAAATTAAAAAAAAAATAGATTTTTAAATTTGAATGCAGATTTGTAGAGAATTGCGCCAGAAACATTTAGAGATATGCCACTTGAAAATCCGATTAAGATAAGTTGAGTTATGGAGTATAGAACTTCAGCCTTAGGACATTTTTTAAGTTTTTCGAATTTCACCAACATCATACATCAGAAAAACAACAAAAAAATTAAAAAAAAATAGATTTTTAAATTTGAATGCAGATTTGTAGAGAATTGCGCCAGAAACATTTAGAGATATGCCACTTGAAAATCCGATTAAGATAAGTTGAGTTATGGAGTATAGAACTTCAGCCTTAGGACATTTTTTGAGTTTTTTGAATTTCACCAACATCATACATCAGAAAACTACAAAAAAATTAAAAAAAAAAAAATTTTTTAATTTGAATGCAGATTTGTAGAGAATTGCGCCAGAATCATTTAGAGGTATGCCACTTGAAAATCCGATTAAGATAAGTTGAGTTATGGAGTATAGAACTTCAGCCTTAGGACATTTTTTAAGTTTTTTGAATTTCACCATCATACATCAGAAAACTACAAAAAAATTTAAAAAAAAAAAATTTTTTAATTTGAATGCAGATTTGTAGAGAATTGCGCCAGAATCATTTAGAGGTATGCCACTTGAAAATCCGATTAAGATAAGTTGAGTTATGGAGTATAGAACTGCAGACTTAGGACATTTTTTAAGTTTGTCGAATTTCACCAACATCATACATCAGAAAAACAACAAAAAAATTTAAAAAAAAAATTTTTTAAATTTGAATGCAGATTTGTAGAGAATTGCGCCAGAAACATTTAGAGGTATGCCACTTGAAAATCCGATTAAGATAAGTTGAGTTATGGAGTATAGAACTTCAGCCTTAGGTCATATTTTAAGTTTTTTGAATTTCACCAACATCATACATCAGAAAAACAACAAAAAAATTTAAAAAAAAAAATTTTTTAAATTTGAATGCAGATTTGTAGAGAATTGCGCCAGAAACATTTAGAGGTATGCCACTTGAAAATCCGATTAAGATAAGTTGAGTTATGGAGTATAGAACTTCAGCCTTAGGTCATATTTTAAGTTTTTCGAATTTCACCAACATCATACATCAGAAAAACAACAAAAAAATTTAAAAAAAATAGATTTTTAAATTTGAAGGCAGATCTGTAGAAAATTGCGCCAGAAACATTTAGAGGTATGCCACTTGAAAATCCGATTAAGATAAGTTGAGTTATGGAGTATAAAACTTCAGCCTTAGGACATTTTTTTAGTTTTCTGAATTTCACTAAAATCATACATCAGAAAACTACAAAAAATTTAAAAAAAAAAAATTTTTTAAATTTGAATGCAGATTTGTAGAGAGTTGCGCCAGAAACATTTAGAGGTATGCCACTTGAAAAACCGATTAAGATAAGTTGAGTTATGGAGTATAGAACTTCAGCCTTAGGATATTTTTTAAGTTTTTCGAATTGCACCAACATCTTACATCAGAAAAACAACAAAAAATTTAAAAAATAATAAATTTTTAAATTTGAATGCAGATCTGTAGAAAATTGCGCCAGAAACATTTAGAGGTATGCCACTTGAAAATCCGATTAAGATAAGTTGAGTTATGGAGTATAGAACTTCAGCCTTAGGACATTTTTTTAGTTTTCTGAATTTCACTAAAATCATACATCAGAAAACTACAAAAAATTAAAAAAAAAAAAATTTTTTAAATTTGAATGCAGATTTGTAGAGAATTGCGCCAGAAACATTTAGAGGTATGCCACTTGAAAATCCGATTAAGATAAGTTGAGTTATGGAGTATAGAACTTCAGCCTTAGGACATTTTTTAAGTTTTTTGAATTTCACTAAAATCATACATCAGAAAACTACAAAAAAATTAAAAAATAATAAATTTTTAAATTTGAATGCAGATCTGTAGAAAATTGCGCCAGAAACATTTAGAGGTATGCCACTTGAAAATCCGATTAAGATAAGTTGAGTTATGGAGTATAGAACTTCAGCCTTAGGACATTTTTTTAGTTTTTTGAATTTCACTAAAATCATACATCAGAAAACTACAAAAAAATTAAAAAAAAAAATTTTTTTTAATTTGAATGCAGATTTGTAGAGAATTGCGCCAGAAACATTTAGAGGTATGCCACTTGAAAACCCGATTGAGATAAGTTGAGTTATGGAGTATAGAACTTCAGCCTTAGGACATTTTTTAAGTTTTTTGAATTTCACTAAAATCATACATCAGAAAACTACAACAAAATTAAAAAAAAATAGATTTCTAAATTTGAGTGCAGATTTGTAGAGAATTGCGCCAGAAACATTTAGAGGTATGCCACTTGAAAATCCGATTAAGATAAGTTGAGTTATGGAGTATAGAACTTCAGCCTTAGGACATTTTTTAAGTTTTTCGAATTTCACCAACATCATACATCAGAAAAACAACAAAAAAATTAAAAAAAAATTTTTTTTTTAATTTGAATGCAGATTTGTAGAGAATTGCGCCAGAAACATTTAGAGGTATGCCACTTGAAAATCCGATTAAGATAAGTTGAGTTATGGAGTATAGAACTTCAGCCTTAGGACATTTTTTAAGTTTTTCGAATTTCACTAAAATCATACATCAGAAAACTACAAAAAAATTAAAAAAAAAAAAATTTTTAAATTTGAATGCAGTTTTGTAGAGAATTGCGCCAGAAACATTTAGAGGTATGCCACTTGAAAACCCGATTAAGATAAGTTGAGTTATGGAGTATAGAACTTCAGCCTTAGGACATTTTTTAAGTTTTTTGAATTTCACTAAAATCATACATCAGAAAACTACAACAAAATTAAAAAAAAATAGATTTCTAAATTTGAGTGCAGATTTGTAGAGAATTGCGCCAGAAACATTTAGAGGTATGCCACTTGAAAATCCGATTAAGATAAGTTGAGTTATGGATTATAGAACTTCAGCCTTAGGACATTTTTTAAGTTTTTCGAATTTCACCAACATCATACATCAGAAAAACAACAAAAAAATTAAAAAAAAATAGTTTTTTAAATTTGAATGCAGAATTATAGAGAATTGCGCCAGAAACATTTAGATTTTATGATGAAATGCGGATATTTTGAGTTTCCTTTGTGCGGTATTTTGTAACGGCTTGCAGTATATTTGCTCAATGTAAGAAATATCGATAGAGAGGTCGCAGAGCGATATCGATAAGTATTTATTCACTCGAGCAAATATTGTTAGATATTTTTATGGGTGCACATCCATAACAAATATCCTCGCAAATCGCCGGGAATACCATGAATTGCGGGTAAACAAGATGCCAGCAGTACGTGGCCATTACTGCAGTGAAGATTACGTGGAGCAGCAACTGCAGGAGGAGTAAGTGCAGCCGGGAAACCAAGTGAATCCGTCCAATTGCCGGAAAACAGAGCCTCGCCAGCCGGAAAAGTAGAGCAGACTTCCAGAAATCGATGCCCCACTGCCACACAATGGTCTATATGCGAATTGTGCTAACAACCTTGGTGACCATTACGTGTCTGCTGGGGGACAACTTCGTGGAGCTGACCCAGCATCCACTGCTGAAGGCCCTGGCCGACAATGCCACCCATGCGGCCATTGGAGCACTCACGGGCATCACGTTCGCCACACAATTCTACGAGCGCACCTCGCAGTTGTTCGGCTGGATATTGATTTTCACCTGCTTCGTTGTGTCATCGTTCATTGACTTGGACCACTTTGTGGAGGCCCGTTCCCTGTATCTGGAGGTGAGTTGCAACAATCAGGCGAAACACACACTAACCAAGTCTCTGTTACTCGCCCGCAGGATGCCACCAATCTGTCCAAGCGGCCCTTCCTCCACTGCTCCAGCATTATAGTGGTGCTGCTGCTGTTCTACGTGTGCACCGCCTGTTTGAACTACTTCCGGACCAGTCTTATGCTGGGATCCCTACTCTGTGCCTTCATCACACACCACACCAGGGACGCCGTGCGGCGGGGCTACTGGCTGTGCCCACTGGGCCACACGGACAGGATGCCCCAGCTGGCCTACATATTGACCACCATCCTGACGCCCCATCTGCTGGGCTGCCTGCACAATGTGTGCCGCAGCAGCATCGTGCTCAACTTCCTGGGGCAGTACGTGAAGCTAAGCGAGGGCCAATACCGCAGCGGTTCCACTGCCAACTATCGTTACATGCAAGTCTAGGCTATATGTAGGAACAGTTTGTGATAATATTGCAAAACATCATCAAATGGTAAATGCAAATTGCTTTTCAAGCTTCAAGCGCTTTAAGACTAGAGATCGCCTAGAAACCCAAATACTTCCTCACAACAGGACACAATTTTACACGGATCTAATACTAGAAGTACCTTTTTCAGGGAACTATGCTTCCCATCCAATTGATTTTTATTTGTTAAGTAGCGTGTAGGTTTTTACTAGCATCTAAATAGAATACAGATAATATCCGGATATGTGATATGTAGTCCTTAGACAAACTAGAGTAACGAGCATAGCGCACAACGATATCTAATCGATTTTCAACTTCAACTCTGACTCTTGTACTTGTAGGCCATACGAATTTTAAGCTAATCGAATAATAAAATCAATCTAATTGCCTTACAACATCAGCCTTGCAATCACAATTAATCCCATTGGCTTATTTGGCCCACCTTAATTTTATTCGCTGTTTGTTTGTGGGCCAAATTAGTTGCCGTTTACAAATTGGCCCTAATGGCTGGCATGGTTGCGAAGGAATCCCGTCATAAATCGACTTTTCAGCTTATTTTACCGATTCGGTCGGGCTATTTTTAAACGAATTTAATTTTAAATGTTCGCCATTATAAATAAATCACAATTTCGATCGAAAAAGTTCGCAAGGAACCAATAAAAAACTTTTGGTTTTTCGAAATTTTCCTACGCTTTTCGGCGGAAAATCGCTTTGTTTGCGGGTCAATAATTGGGTAATTAAACTTCCACGTGCGATCAAACAGAGAAACAATTCCAGGGTATTGTCGGTCCCAGAATTTCCCACGCATGCCCATTAACAGCGCCACGAACAACAATAACAGCGGCTGAATCGTTTGGCAACACCCACGACACAACATTTGTTTGACATACACTGAAAACTGAACCTGAGCATACAACGGATGGGCAACTCAATTTGCGATCTTGCATTGCGAAATAATGATCTCAGGTATGTTTCATTTTCAATGCTCTAAAGGAAGTTTGATTGATCATTTCTATCCGAATATAGGACGGGACCTCAGCCCAATTAAAGCCGCCCAGTTTCTCCCAGTGTGCGCAAATGATGATCGCTTTGGGCTTGGTCGCGGTTCGTTAGTGGACACATATTTATGTGACTGATCAGAGGCGCAGATCGCTGCAGACAAGCCAGTACAAAAAGTGTCGGCGCGGCGACCACAGCATTCGTTCTAAAAAAAAGAGTCCATAAGTCGCGTGTCCCAATCTCTGGGGATTCGAATCCATCGCGGGTGTGTGCTCTGAGTTGGCCAAGATTGCGGACCCAGAGGATATCAGTGAAAATCCGCTCGCTGTAAGTGCGCAGGATTTGTAGTCACGTAGATTGGCTAACCGTTTGGCTTTCGTTACACTGCACTTACATTTGGAGTTACGATTTTTGGTCTTGCAATTGCCCAGTTAGAGTTGCGCTTTTCGGCTGGCCCCTCGACCTTGGGCACTTTTCACGCTTCGTTTGGTCGCCAGCCGTGTGTTTGTCTATCGATGATATCACGGCTGGGTCATTAAGACCCGGTTAAGTGCGACATTTCTGTTTGCCTTCCGCCGATAACTAACTTAAGTTGCTAAACGCCGTTCCCAGAGTCATTAACACCCCGTTAAAGTCCAGGGCATATCACGGGATCCGGCACACTGGGAGCCCCAGCAAAGTTTCATAATATTTGTCTGGCACGATCATAATATGCATACGCGATGTACTACAAACATCTATATTATATACGTACATATATGGTTTAAAAATAAACCCTGTAAATATTTACATTGGAAATCTATAAAGAGCAACTCGCCGATTTTTCCCCATAATTCTCTTGCTCGTCGTTCACACAGTTTTGGTCAAAGGTTTATTACCATTTATCCGTTTTCCTTTTAGAGAAATACTAATAATTGCTTTCAATAAATAAATAACCCATAACATATCTGTTTCTGGCTGCCGCTTTCATGTTTATGAGCTGATAATGAGCTCGTAAACGTCCAATTCCGGTTGTCTCTGCTTAGAAGCCATCCGAACTGAACCGATCTCGATGGAAATGGTGATCCCGGGATGCCCTTGCAGCATCGCAATCCAAGTTCCCTGCCATCTAGGCGTAAAGTCACCACTGATAATGCCAATGATCGATAGCGAGTTCAGTTACAGCTTCAAAACAGTTGTGCAATTGTTAAATACATATAGTATAAAACCCAATGGAACATGAGGCTACAGTCCAACTTCTTTAAGATAAACCAGTCATAATACATATTATCCTTAAGCTATATGTGTTAAAAAATATGGAGACACCTTTTCAAATCAGGTTGGACTATGAGTAAGCCCTATGATTAATGCATATTTGAGCAGCTGAGCTCAGGGAATTGAAATAAATTCCTCAATTCGAGTGTTATTTGACCTTTAGGCTTTAGTATGCTGACCCCACGGCGTATGAGCAATGTGTCGTTTTTGGACACCTCACCTGAGCAATCTGAGCGATCCACGACAGCTGCCTAATTAAAATTATCGAAGATTCCACTGCCTCGTCGCCGTCTGCCAGCGATTTTGAGTGCAGCCAACGGGGCGGATTGTCGATCGGTAAAAATAGCGCATACGCAAAGTGGGCACACGAACGCACTGGCGATTGCACAGGCACTTCTTTCCTGTCATCTCATGTGCAGCCGGGTTGAATGACTCGCGACTAAATATAACACTTGCAATTTGCCCAGTTTATGTAATGGCCATTCGAGTGTTGATCTTAGCTAATACAGGGCACTCAGAATTGTATGCTTTCGAGATCTCAACGGCCCTGCTCATTAGAGCGCATTGATAAACAGATATGGGGAAACGTGTTTGGTCAAGTGTTTCATTTTCTTATTCATCCGCTTCTGATGGCACAGTTCTTTCTTTAGAAAAACATATACACTCATTGAAAAATCTTCTCGCCAGAAGATCTACATCGAGTTTTATGCCGGCTGTTGCCGTTGACAGAGAGCGAACGAGCATCGAAATCGATGAAAATAAATCAAAAAAACAAGAACTCGAATGAACAAATGGCAATCCCAGAACGAGGCGAGATTTCAAAATTTTTCGTTTCAAAACAACTGGCAAGAGAGAGGGAATACCGCTCCCAACTTTTCTCTCACCGACTTGTTTCTGGCTTTCGCTTTTTTTTGGCAGCATTTTGATCGTTGGAGCGCCGTAGAATACTCAATATTGTTTGGGATTCCGTGGCGAGACGATCGTTGAAAAAGTCGCGCGCGCTGCTAAAATAAATTCAAGCGATATATTATTAGGAAAACAAAGAAGAACGCACATCATTATAATCCACTAAAAAGTTAAGATATAAATATACAGACGTGGGAGAAAAAATACGAAGTAAAAACATTTTATAGCTGGACAATTTTACTGTGCACAGTGACAAAAGTGCTACACACTTAATACACAATCTAGTGCTGAAACTAGGCCAAAGTTGATTTGAAACCAAATATTACTCATACGCCACCGGCACCTCATTCATACCCCACCCCAGTTATCACTTTTGAATGAGCCCAATGAGTGGACTGCGCCAACAGCTGAAGGTGAGTACTGTGCTTCTCGATGATGAGATATCCCGATCTATAAGAGCCCTAATTTCCAGATGATTTTGAGTATTTAGCCCAGAACCTGCTTGCATTTGCATAAATATTTACCTAATCGCTTTTCAATGGTGGCAACAAATTTCGCTGTCCGCCTGGCAGACACTAAAGCTGCCTGCGTTGTGTACACAAATTGTTTTTATTTCGTTTATGATGAGCAAATATTAAATCCTCTCTCGCCGACCGGCTATAAATAATTTTAATAACAATATTGGTACTACATTGCGGCAATTCGCTTGTCAGGGTCGCCAAGGAACCTGTAAATTGGCAGATCGTATTTGTTAGTTGTCAAATATTTAGATTAACCCATTGCACAAAGCGCGAATAAATATTGCTACAGGTTTATTTTCGGAGCCAAGCAAGTTTAAACAATTTTATGGCATTAATGGGTGCAAATAATGTTAAACAAAACAAATACAAATTACGACATTTAATTGTTTAAGAAGTGCATATAAGGTAATTGGTTTCTTGTAATCCTTTGCTTTTATGAGGAAAAAATGCATTAATATTTATTATTCACACTAATAAATATTTTTTCTTTGTTTAAAAAAATGTTCCAATTTTGCTTCCCACAAGAAAATATTATTTTGAATTATCGAATATTAAATTTCTGCATGTTCGGCAAAGTATTTCTTAGAAAATATATTTTTAATAGAAACTCAACAAACTTGCCCAAATTGTGTGGAACCGTCGGCTATATTTTTTTCCAGATCTGAGGAGACGAAAATAAATTTGAAAGCGTATGTCTGGACTCACATAAAGTTCAGTGCATTCTGTCTTTTCTAAGTCATAAAATGCGTTGCTGTCGCAGCCCATAACTTTGTAGGCAAAACACATCATTAAAAAGTACAGACGGGCATCCATAAAAGGCATATATAGGTATATAGATATATATAGATGTAGATATCTGGAAATTCGACTTTCGCGGAGGGGCATCATAATGGTTTCTTAATGTGGCCGTTCAGGATTTTCGGCATACAAAATGCGCTTCAGTGCTTTCGAAGGCATTAAAACACAATTGTTTATCGACGTAGACGTATGTGTATATACATGGCCAATATAAACACTAGCGATTATTAACTTTTTCCTTACCTTTCGACTTGTATATTTTAATATGATGTGTGCCCACTATGCTCATTATGATTTGAGGTCCAAAGTTTGATACTTGTTTATTCGAATTCATTAATTGACGACACAAAGTTTATTTCATCTAGATTTATACAAACAAACCGCAAATTTATGATGCTGGCAAAGCTCTGTGGAGCATAACAAATTTTCGGAAATTCCTGAACAAGTGTCAAAGGAAAATGCCATTAAATGCGAAAAATTTATTAATTTGTTTACATTGTATGCTTCTTGGCACGTGAGCAATGCCACACTCTGCATTTATTATCTTGTTTAAGCCAATAAAGCAGCAGTTGGCTAAGGTAACTAACCTGGGACAAGGCTTTACATGGTTGCCGTTTGGACCATGTGAACATCAGCTATATTTCCCTTATTAATTAAAGTGTTGCCATGAATTTTGAGCAGCTTAATTCAACTAAAAAAATGCTTATACCTAAAGAGAACCAATATATAATAGGTCATGCTTTAATTGAAGTGTAATCAACTGCTCCCCTCTGCACACAATTTAAATGAATTCGAAATCAGCATTGTTTGTGAAAATGAAATTATTCGAATCTTTTCGGATATTTGCGTAAACACTTTCACCGCATTTGCTGGTTCTTGTTTGCAATTAATCAAAAATAGTTGAAATGCTTGGCATTCAGTACGTAATTTAGAAATAAATTGCCAAATAAATAAATTGGAGGCACGAACACTCTGGTCAGCAACCTGTCAAGATTCCCCATATTTGGCTTAAATGTTTTCCAATTGGTCTTAAAGAGCCAACTAAATGCATTTGCGCTGCATTTTGGCTAGCTTAGGATGCTCGGAATGCCTCGAATGAAAATAGATTGGAAAACAACAAATGCAAGTGGTTGCTAAAATAACCAAAGAACAACGTAATAAACAAGAATGTCAAAAATAAAAAAACCTTTGACAAAATGTAAAAATATCTATTTAGCTCATCTGCAAATACCTTTTTGATTTTCCCCGCAGCTGAAGAGTATGCTACACTTTTCTTCGCACCTTTGCTAATATTTTCCCCTACCTCTCGGACTTTTACTTAGTATACTTAATGTTTTATTTGCTCAATGTTTTGTTTTTCAGATGCTGGGAACAGCATTGCTGGGCAAACGGGCCACCAAGGTAAGCACGAAATTATTT